CTCGTGAAGAAGAAAGCACGCTGAGCTGTTGATCTCACTCTCTATTCTTATTTCCGGGCCCCAGGCACTGTCCGAGCCGGTTGGTGGACTAATACGGGGAATAGACGCATCTGGTGATATATTTAATGACCTCGTCTTCGCAAACTATGTACGCGACCTGCTTCCTCAAACATGAATACCAGGATTTCATACAAAAGGGTGACTCACATCTCATATGAGTTGAAGTGCAAATGGTTAAGTTAAGAAGAGGTCATTACAGCCCAACTAAGAGACCACCAGTCGGCCAGACCGAACGAAAACAGCTTGAACTGACTGCGAGGCCCGAGTATGGTTGTCAGTTTGCAACGTTCCAATCCACAGGGCTTAGTGCACCGTGGTAGCCTCAGGCCTGGATCGCACATGCAGCAGTGGAGCCACATGGAGAAGGAGCCGAGGATCATACTTTCCTCTCACGTAAGAAGTGCTGACTAAAATAACTTGGTGGTTGGTGTTGGGCGTGACCATGTGTAATGTAGATACTGGTAAGGAAAGATCGGGCATTATGGTTTAGCCGGCAGTGACCTACCACATGATTTTCCGACGGTGCCTGTGGCCTGGTAGGCCCATGCAGTATATTAATGTGTGAACAGGATGGACGGTTAAGACGGGTCCGGCGACTGTATATCCGGTTCCCAGGCACTGGCTCACCAGTCGCTATGCGATTAATTCGCAAGGGACTGACTAGGCCGATATATGAGGTCAATATACGATCGAAACTAGGACAGATTAGATTCGTGCCCCCATTTCTGGTGGAAGGGACGCTGGTTGTGGAGGTAGCAGGTGGCGCCTCGGCGGGGTTAGTGGAAGTGAGCGAGGTATTGTCTATGGTGGTCACCACTGTAATCGAAGCGGAGGTTGCGGCAGAGAGGATGTTGTCGGCGATTAAAGACAGCAGGGCCTCGGGAGGTTGAGCATCGATGGTGGTGGTGTTGTGGACGCCATTGCTCACAATTGATGCAGGGGGATTGTATGAGTGTTTATCTTTGTAGAACATGGTTCCGTCGGAAGTTTTTACATTGTGTCCGGAGATGTGCGGCGAGTCCGATTCACGCGCGCAAGGTGCGCTGGCAGCATGGGCATATTGAGCTGCCCTTTTTGCCTTAAAATTGGTTGTTTCGTTTTCTTTTCAGATTGCGGCGCTGGTCTTAGCTGCTCTTCTCCAGGTCATTCGGTCATGGCGAGGTCCTCCCAGCCTGTTTGTATGATTGGGAGTGGCTCCAGATAGTTCTTTTGGATGTCCTTGTAAAATCGTTTAAGTCCTCATTTTTTCGACAAGCATCCGCTTGTCGTTCGTTGTCAAACCTCATCAGTTGGCCGCTCCATCACAGTTGCACTTACTTCAAGATAGTGTGGATGCAGAGAATTCCAGTTCGCACCTGGACTTTCATGTCTGGGATCATGTCCTGCCATCTCACCTTCAGTATTCTGGGAAAGCAGCTGAGGATGAAGTAATTCAGCTTCCGAGCTTGGTTGGTGTAGACAGTCTAGGTTTCCTTTTCGTATAAGATTGTCGTCAGGATGAGGGCCTTGTATTTATTCAATTCGGTGTTCAGTTGTGGGCCGTGGTGGTTTCACCCGGAGGCTTCCAGTTGACTAAAGGCCTGGCTCACTTCGGATATCTGGTGCGCAAACTCGTCATCGACTTCGGTGTTGCACAAGAGTGTGCTTCCAAGGCAGGTGATGTTGTGCACAGTTTTCCATTGACTACCGTTTACACTGACTCAGCGAGCACTATTAGCGCATGACCATCATTTTGCCTGTGTTGACGTTCAGTCTGAAATTGGCGCAGCCAGTGGCAAAGAGGTCCGTACTCTTTTACATGTTCTGTTCCGTCGCGGTATCGAGAGCGCGGTCGTCCTCAAAGAGCAGGTTGTGGACTGTAACCGTGGACACACGCGTTGGCGCCTGCATACGCCGATTTTTGAGAAAGTGCCCGTCAATTCTGTAGGTGATGAAGATCTCAAAGCGTTCATCACGATAAACGTCTATCAGCATAACAGAGAACATCGGACTGAAGAGGATGGGAGCGCGTACGCAGCCCTACTCCACTGTGTTCGTCACTACACAGGCTTTGGATACCGACCCGTTGTCAGTGACGCACGCCATCATTCCGTCATGGAGTTGACGGGCAGTGTGCGTGAACCGCTCAGGACATTTGAATTTCTGCATGATTTTTCACAGTCCATCGCGATTCACCGTGTCAAACGCTTTCATCAGACTCATAAAGGTCGTGTATAGGGGATCCACATCTCCCGCAACTTCTTTGTAGCGGTCGAGCGGCGACGGTCATGTCGGTTGTTTCGCTGAGTCCACGGAGGCCATATTAACCTTTTGGAGGCAGTCTCTGCTCTAGGCAGCCGTTCAGACTGTTAAGAAGAATGCATGCGAAGATCTTTCCAGCGATGTTGAGAATCGATATTACTCTGTTGTTCTCGCATAGTTTTCAGTTCCGTTTCCACTTGTACAGATGAAAGGTGGTCACAAACCTTGACCTTGGGAACGTGAACTTGACGCTACATCTCCTGAAAGAGTGCTTTGAGTTGTTTAATCATTTAGTAGCTGCCGTGCTTGCAGCTTTCAGCTAGTATCGCATCAGAACCTGGCGTTTTCCAGCTGGAGAGTTGCTGCACGGTGCGGGTGGTTTCTGGACGGGAAGGCAGGAGGTTCAGGTCGATGTCCATTTCCAGTTGAGAGAGCTGGTCGATAGCGGCGTCAGAATTGGTTAATGGAAAGCTAAGGACACTTCTATAGTGCTCAGCCCAACGCTTCAGAATTTGCGACTTCTCAGTCAGGATGTCTGTTCCATCCGGGAAAGCACTACTTATCTCCCTGCGGAGGAAGGGACTATAAAATTTGCCCTAAACAAAATGCTGGGTATCATGTCTTCTGCCGGCCGCAGCTCGCAGGTCGCAA